GGAAGTTTGACAAGGAGGTAAGTCGAAGTAGTTTTGCTTTCTCCTTGAATTATATGCCACTGTTTACTTAATTACTGTACTGTATTTGCTTTGTTAAATATGACTTTATCCAAAACATGTGTTTAACAAAAAACATTAACAGCATTGGAGAATGTTTTCTGTTTACCCCCTTTATTTAGCGTTCAGAAACATACAATTTACAGTGTATTCAAGAGACATATACAGATACAGTAACTAAAAAAATCTTCCAGTGGTTAAGTGGTTTCCAAGTCTAGGAGTTAGGCAATTTATCAATTACTTCACTTCATCAGCAGGAACACATTCTTAATCTGGGCAGTTCTTGGTAGTTATTGTTGCTAATAAAGGCCCTAGTTGTAAGCAATAATTAACAGCTTTTGCTACAACTCTGATCTGTCCCGGATAGAGGTCGCCAGACTATGACATGGATACATAATCAGACTGAACTACAGTAATGCATTGTATGGATGAGAAACCGTTCTTTGTAAGCTACCACCAAGTATGGCAATATTTATTTATTTATTTATTTTATTTATTTGATACTCCTACTGCACATAACACACATGCTCAAAGGGATATATTTGCTGCCCTCCCTTTTTGGGAGGTGGTGCTTTCAAATGTCATGGCAACTACATGGTCAGTTCTCTGCACAGTATTTTCAGAGGTGTTTCATCATTGGCTTCTTCCTAGAGCTGAGAGTGTGTGACTGTCTCAAAGTCATCCTGTTGGCTTTTGTGCCTAAAGTGGGACTAGAATTCAGGTTTCCTGCTCTGAGTCCAATGCCTTAATCACTAGACCAGACTGGTCCACATTAGCTACCCATTAGCTATCAAATTACAGTCATGTTTGTTTACAACACTAAAAAGGGATAGGCAATGTGAGGAACAGTTGTCTTTAGTAAAGACTTTTCAATATTTACATTCAGTGGAACATATTTTGCATATCACACCCGTTTGCTAACATTCACTTAGCAATAGTGGAAAGAAAGCCATTCTTTGTAGTTGTATTCACTGTGTCCCTATTGAGAATAGACTCACAGTGGGGAGTTTTCTGCAAACACTTTGATTGCCAGTATTGCTGCCCAGGTTTTATCATTCTGTTTTTTTAACTGATTGCTTTTATTCTATTTTGTTATCTTATTATAAACCATGTTGATGTTTGCATTTAAAAATTAAAAATGATACAGAAATATCAATACAAGTTTTGACAGAAGAGTAATTACTCCAGCTCCTTAACAGCACTAATGCTGTTACATCATAATTATACAATTCTGGGTGACAACCAAGATATATAAAAAGCAGTAACTCTTTGCAAGTAAAAATTGGGCAGATAATCTTGGAAAAGTTTTTGGGATGTACATCACATATGCCTTAACACAGGGGTCCCCAACCGCCGGTCCGCGGACCGGTACCGGGCCGCGGAACAAGCCTTACCGGGCCGCTGGTTGCTGGGCGCCGCCATTTTTTTTGACGAAAAATCACTTCCGGTGACGTCACCGGAAGTGATTTTTCGTCAAAAAAAGATGGCGGCGCCCAGCTGACGCCGGAACCGGGCCGCGGCGTCGAAAAGGTTGGGGATCCCTGCCTTAACGCATCTCACCCCCACACAAAAACCCTGCTTTACCTGGTTGGTAGTTACTTTCATGAATGAAAGCAAATACAGAGGTCCCAGGAGAATGTTGCAGAATCCAGTCTGAGTTGGTCACTAGGATCGCAGGATTAGTCTTCTGAGCTTTTGGACTCATGCTGAACCCCATCCTCAGGAACTTCTACCAGAATGTGTGCTTTGGGCTATTCTAGGCATCATAATTTATGTGGTGCCTGGTTGTTTGTGGCTTATTATTGGTTGATTGGGATGTTGATGGCTGACTATTAAGTCATTGGCTATTGTTTCCTTGTGCTGCCAAGTCCTTAGCTCCTAAGTACCTGACACACTGGTGGTAAATCAGTACCCCTATTGACAGTCAAGGGGCACGTTTCCCAGGCTTCAATAACTTCCCTGGCTATCTTTGCACTTGCTCGGCCAATGACCTTTAGTTACTTTACCTAGTTGGTAGTTATTTTACCTAGTTGGTAGTTACAAATTGCTTCTGGAATTGGAGCCTCTTCAAATAGTTAGTTATGACTTAGTCATCTTTATTGGACTATTGCAATGTACAGTGAAGAATATTTGGCAACTATATTTATTCCCAAATTCAGTGGCTTGAGAAGTTAATTCGTCTGGGTAACACCACCATATTGAGAGCTGCGCTGGTTGCGAGTTGCCTGCATCTAACCTGCAGCAATTCAAGGTGTAGGTGATAATCTTTAAAGCCTCCTATGGTTCAGAAGTACACTTACCTGCAAGACCAGTTCTCTTGATAATCATTTTCCTGTTTAAAACGATCCGGTTAGGGTGGACTCATTGTATGTACTTTTGCTCAGGGTTTCCCCATTTTCAGAGATCCTGGAGGCAAGCCTCCTCATTCTCTCTCTCTGAACATCCATATTAACCCCTCCCTCCTGGTTTTTACCACTGGCTATTTTATAAGGAAGGGGACATGGTGGCTCAGTGGCTAAGACGCTGAGCTTATTGATTAGAAGGTCAGCAGTTCAGTGGTTCGAATCCCCAGCACCGCGTAATGGAGTGAGGTCCCATTAGTTGTCCCAGATTCTGCCAACCTAGCAGTTTGAAAGCATGTAAAAAATGCAAGTAGAAAAATAGGGACCACTTTGGTGGGAAAGTAACAGCACTCCCTGACCTTTAGCATTTAGTCATGCTGGCACATGACCATGGAGAGGTCTTTGTACAGCGCTTGTTCTTCGGCTTAGAAACAGATGAACACTGCCCCCTAGAGCCAGAAACAACTAGCAGGCATGTGTGTGGTAACTTTTATCTTTACCTTTATTTTATAAGGACTTTGGAATTGAAATGTTTCCCTAGTAGTGGAAGTTTTCTTTTGCTTGGTGATGGCTGTTGAATGATTCATTGCGCTGTATACATAGTTATTTATTTTATTTTAATGTGCATTATGTTTTTAGCTGCATTTGTTACGTTTCAAATGTCCAGATCAACTTCAATTGGAGTAGCATATAAATCCAGTGAAATACCTAACAACACATCTACAGCAGTTTTTATTGCCAGCATCTCTTCTATGTTGTAGCCAGGAGAAATAAATCCTTTGCTCCCCTCCAGTGGTTATCAGGTTGATCAGTTGATCACCATTTTGACAAATATACCCCAAATTTTATGGAGAACTGCTTTTTGAAACAGATAATGGCAGGAATAAGATCTTTTGAAAGTGTGTTCACACCTCACTCTAACTTATGGTTAAATGAACCATGATGGCTTACTGAATTAATCAAATTGCCTGAGTTTGCATAACACACTGAACCATAAACTAACCACATTGGCTGAGCTTGCACAATTCACTGAACCACAAAACTAGACAGCTCCTTTCAGCTGAATGTATGTAAACCCAGCTGCAGCATTCAGTTTACCAGGCACTTGGGTTGGTAAACAAAACTTTTTACTCAATGTTACGTTTTTAAAATTGGAAAGATCATGTGTACAAAACACATGGTATTATAAAGTATGAAGAAGTGATTACATCGTACTTAAATTTCTCTGTATTTCTTGGGCTCACTTCCCTCCCCCACCTTCCTTCCAGAAAAAGTTTGGGAAAGTCAATGTCATCCAGGCTAACCTTTTATGGAAAAACTATTAAGATGTTTATGTAAAATGCAATACACAAAGAGGCCAGTAGTTTTTTTTTTCCCCATAGCAAATGGATTCAGGCGCTATATTGTAACGTTTTCAAACACTTTAATCGGGATTTCATTTATGTTCCCAAGGTTTTGCTCTCCTTTTCGCTCTTCTCCCACCCATCGGTGGGTTGTCCAGTATTCCAAGCGTAAAATTCCTGCACTTATTCTTACTTGAAAGCTTCGCTATAGTTTAGCATTTCCCGTTATTTTTAATGGGAGCCAAGCTGGCTCTGCTACAGAGCGGAGCGGAATCCGCCTACGTTTCTCTGCTACAAGGAAGCGCGTCCGAACTCCGAGCCAACAAGTAACGCGGTCAACAAGTACAAGGTCAACCACCGTAGCCAGCAGAGGGATGCGGCTCCATCCTGGGCAGATCACTCAGAAGGAAGTCCGGATGAGTTCGGTGAATCTTAATCCCACGTAACGGGGACTATCGCTCATTTCCCGCCAGGTTGCTAGTTTGAAGCCAGCAAGAACGCCAAGCCACGGGGATGCTTAAATTCTTTCACCGACTCGCTGGTGTTTCTCCCCCCTCCCCCCGATCTCCCCCGTTTGCTGCGTGGAGCTCCCGCTGCCTTTTCAGCTATACAGATCTACAGATTCAAGGGGGGACCCTGCATTTGACAGTGAAATAAGAGAGCCACGACCAACTGGGGAAGAAAGGCGCCCCAGCTGCTCATCATCCCTTGTCCGCAGCCCTCTTTGCGGGCCAGGTATCCTGGTTTATCCCCATTCTGCAGTTTGTGGCCGTTTATTCTCCTTGTCATGCAAAAGACAGGCTGGCTGGACTGCAGACATCCCCTGGAAATTTGCATGTACCAGACCTCGGCTACCGCACCATCCAACCCTCTCCCAAGCCTCGGCGCACAGCACCGAGCCCTGCCCGCTTATATAGTTCTCTAAAAATAGCTCCCCTTACACTACCTTATAAGGCGGCAGTCGGATGAAACCCTCCTCCAATCCCTCCGGCTCTTCCGGGCTCTGGCCCGTCCCCTCTTCCTCCAGGAAGGCCGCGATTGGGCCTCAGTGACTTCATGAGCGGCCCTTTCTTCCCTCCCCCTGTTTACCTTACATGGTCACGCGCTGCCTTAATGGACGGTTTCCTCCGAAGAGCCTACGACTGCGCGGAGAAGGGACGGGGAGGGGGGGTAGAGTGGGAGCGCGCCCGGGGAGCGCGCACAAGGGAAAAAATGCAAACCCCCCCAATAAAGAGCAAATATTGCATTCAGCAGCGAGCAGCAATGCAGAAATAGATGGCAGTCTCGTGTCAGTGAGTTTGCATTCCCGCCCCCCCCCCCCTTCTGTGGTCCAAGCGCTGGAGTCAGCAACAGAGCCCTTGAAGGCAATTGCTTTTTTACTACAAGTGGAGAAGTTCCCCCCTCTTGGTTGCCTGGCTGACGGCTCGCCTTGTACATGTTTGGGTGCATTTCTCCTTTCTTATTGGGTTGTTGATGGGGCTTTTTCTGTTTTCTTTTTCCTTCCTTTCTCCACTCTTGTTCCTGCCTTGATTTTTCACCTTATCTTTGAAAGTGTGACTACAAACATTCTCTTGTCTCTCTCTCTCAAACAAAAGCAAAACGAGAGAAAAAGGACGTCTGGATTGATTACGCCTAAGAGTCTTTCTCCCCTCCTTTTTAATGAACAGAACTAAAACCCCGTCACGAAATTTCAAACACAAATCTAAAAGGAAAAGGTTGTGGTTTATTTTTTTGCTCAGCAACAGCAACAGCAGCAGCAGCAGCAGCAGCAGCAACATGGATGTGTTGGCTAGTTATAGTATATTCCAGGAACTGCAGCTTGTCCACGACACCGGGTACTTCTCAGCTTTGCCATCCTTGGAGGAGAACTGGCAGCAGGTGAACCATTTACCTTACTCCTGTAAATCTCTTAAATGCTGGCATTGATGAATCAAATCCTCTCTTTTTGCTTTTATTTCTCATTTTCTCTCATCTTGGTTTCCCCCTTCTTTTAAAATAAAGCTACACTGTTACAGTTTCATTAACAAAGTGATGTAGTTGAAAGCTGCTTGCATTAAATCCGAGATCAAAATAATAATAATAATAAATCAGGGAACATCCTGAGGTGTGGCAGAAGTTATTTGAAGGTCTTTTAGCACTATGTTTTGAGTTCATTTTAAAAAGGAATAAACTATTTCCCTCCCCCCTTTTTCTTTGTGAATAAGAAGCAATCACTTTTAACTGGTGTTGACAACTGATAGAAATAGAATAATGTATTTTCCCTCTTTTACAAAATAATTGGTGCATAAGTATAAGTCAGTTTTTACTTAAAGTAGTCTCCAGGAACATGCTGTATTAACAATAATCTGAGTTTCTACTTATTTTTATTTATTTATTTTTAAAACTTGCAAGAGTGATACTGGTTTAGAACAATGCCACTCAAGCTTATTTCTGTACATCCAACAGAGAGAGCTTAGACATTAGAAGAATTGAGAAATATTACCAAAAACGGAAATTGGGTAATAAGGTTAAAACTCTGCTGGTAGACAATGCTGTAAGGAGAGATGGGAATCTAGAGAGGAATCTGAGACTTTTATCAAATCTTTGATTAGTCCAACTATTGAGATGAAGAAAAGGAATGTTTAACAGTCTATCAGCTGGCAAAATGAAATGTAGCTGGAGAGGACAGCCCTTCCAAGAGATTCCTTGTCAGGGGCAAATGACACAAATGACAGTAGTAGTGTGAGTTTTATGGCTGGGCTTGATTAATGATTTCTTGGTATTCGGAAAACTCCTCTCTTCAGAGAGAGTGAGTGAGGGGCAGATGAACCCTGGCCTGTGAAGTTAACAAGACAAGAGACTTACACCATGTGGTAGTCATGTAACTTCCATGCTCATGACTGATACAGCAAGTCATTATCTTGTTCACCCTATATATTTCATTCTCTTGTGGCCCAAACATTATTAGTTCATTTCTGGAAGGGGGCATTGAGGTGCCTTGGATCCTACTGTTCTGGGATGGCTAAACACTCACTAAAATTTAATGTATAATATTTAGCCCAGGTTTCTCTTTGAATGTGTGTGTGTGTTTTAAGAAAAATACGTGGTGGAAGCACTTCAAGTCCTCTTGGTTGTGAAAAGCAGAAGCCTGTGTTTGGCTTGCTTATTACACACATTGGTTAAAGAGTCACATCTGGTTTTCTTTGTGGTTCTCCTTTAGGCAGCTGATCCAGTTGGAGTGTCAAATAATTCTTGCCTTAACAATTCTTCCAACAGTGGTTTTGCTGTTGCATCAGTTGCACATTAATAATAATCTAGACCCTTCTAGGCAAGATAATCTGTTGGCACATCCAGCAAGCCTAACTGATCTTGTCTGCTATATTTTGGGAGATTATTCTACTATAGAAAAAGGAAACTGTCTGTTTTTTTTCCAGTATAAAAGCATTCTGCTTGGAAAGTGGGAAGGAATTTTTAAAAATATCAATTTAGCTTTTGAAGGCTTTTTTTTGGGGGGGGGGGGGGGGGTTAAATCTTGGTTGCCATGTGAACAAGTCATATTCAAGAAACTTGACATTTATATAGTCAATGTGTAGAATGCTCTGTTCACATGTCCCTATATTTAAAAAAAATCCCTGTAAGATAGCCAGTTTTATCTTCCTATTGTGTGTGTTGGGGGAGGAGCTGATCATGCCGTTAAAGCCTCATGGTGAGGTGGCTGAAACTTAAATCGTTTTAATGAATATTTTTCTTGTATCTTTGTAGGCCACCTTGGGTTGTTAAGGCTATTGATTTAGGGTGGCTTAAAAATCTTAAAAGCAAATGAATAAAAATTATCCCCAATATGCCAAATGTATACATGTCTCCTCAGAAGAAATTCCAATTGCATCTCATCCCATAGAATCCTGTTCCAAGTATAAGGGTAGAAACCTCAGTCAAACTCTGCTTAAATGGGACAAGGAAGAGGGTGAATTGAAAGTGTCCTGAAACAATGAACTTGAATTCACTTACACTAAATTGATTTTTCAGAGGATATATTTTGCTTTTTCACTCTACTCCATTTATTTCTGGAAATACCCTTATAATTATAAAGACAATTAAGTTTCAGATATTATAATTTCATTGAGGAAGCACTATTGTAGAATTAATATTTGCTTCTAAAAATGGGTTTGCTAAGTTTGGGAAACAGCAGAATAGCCCCAGGAATCTTAGACCCCACTCATTTTTTTTTAAAAAATGTTTTTTTTAAAATGCCATCTAGCAAAACATTTGGAGACATTGCAAATGAAAGAAAAGCAAGAAGGCTCAACTTGCTTCCCCTTCCCCTTCATCCGATCACAGCAACATTTGAGAAATCTCCAGAGGCTGAGTGAGAAGCACTGGCAATGGATTCCAGATACATTTTGTTCAAAGCACAATACTTTCCCATTTCCACATCCCCCATTCTGTCTGCTTCTCCTCTGAATTCCTAAACAAGGTAAAGATACAGCTCTGTTGAACAGACCACTTACATTGATGACTTCAGCAATTTGGAGCTTCTCAGTCTCAGAAATGCTGAAGATAGAATAGTATAGTATTTTTTATCACAAGGACGATCTACCAGGAAATCCATATTTATACAGATGTTATACAGTAACTGATATTACTCACATGTCGAGATGCTCTGAGACTTCCAAGAAATAGCATTATGAAAGCACTAATGGCACACTCTTCAATCAAGTTGGGCATTTTAGTTATGGGATAAAGTTGCTTAAACATCTCCCACTGAATTCAGTGGGATTTCACGGTCCTTCATTTCCACTGGTAATATTATATGGAAATAGGTCTCATTGCTTTCAATGGAAGACTTTTTGATGTCCCTGTATGTATTTTGATGTGAGTGACAGCTGCAGAAAACTAATATAGTAATATGGTGTTGCTTTCATAGCCTTCCTTCCTGCCTTTATCTTAGTCTACGGTTTGTGACTGATGAATTCAGAACAGGAAAAGTTGCATGTAGTTGGCAAGTATCATAAATAGAAAACCTACTGTACTGACTGCAGCAGTAACTCATGTCAGTTGCTAAATAAACACTTGCTGCCATTCATCCTCCTCGTTGTCCTCCTCCTTCCCTGGTGCTGTAGGAAGAGGAAGTTGTTAAGTCCTTCTGAGAATTAGCTGCATGGAAAGTTATAAAGAAGTTCCTACACAGCTCAGAGTTTTTGGGGACCATGTTGCTCTTATGTCAAAGAAATATGGCAAGTACCATTGTAACATGTCTGAATCCTTTGTTTTTGGTGTTAATAGGTATATGGCTAGAAATGCTTATTAGAAACATTAAAGGCTCCTAGAAATGGAGCTACACCGCTAGAAATCCTTAGTAGTGAAGTATCCTTAGCATTAAAGTGAGCAAAGTAAGTCTTGATATATGTGCCATTTTAGCTGCTTTGGTGATAGCCAAAGTGTCTGATGTTCCTCACTTCCCATGCTTGAAAACTCATGTACCTACACCAATAAAATACAGGTAGTCCTCACCTTACAACCATTCATTTAGTGACTGTTTGAAATTACAACGGCACTGAAAAACTGACTTAGGGCATTTTTCACACTTGTGACCATTGCAGCATCTCCATTCAGAAGACTGGCATGTATTTATGATGGTTGTAGTGTCCCCAGGGTCATGGGATCAGCTTTTGTGACCCTCTCACAAGCTAAGTCAATGAGAAAGCCAGATTCACTTAACAACTCTGTTACTAACTTAACAACTGCAGTGATTCACTTAACAACTGTGACAAGAAATGTCATAAAAAGGGGCAAAACTCAACAACTGTCTTGCTTAGCAGTGGACAGTTTGGGATCAATTGTGGTCACATGTTGCGGACTACCATATAGACAAATCTTTCCATAGACAAAAACAAATTTGATAGCCCAAGGAAAATAATTCTGCCTCCACATATCACCTCTCAGCTCTTCATACAGGAGCCCTTCATACAGCTTTTCCCAGTTTTATAGTATTGTGCAGAATTTCAGTGTGGTTTTACAACAGGGACATAAGTGAGGCAGGGAGGGGGGTTATCACTGGCTGGAATATTCAACCCAGATGTTATTTGGATGGAGAGACTATTAGGATTTAAAATGAAGCTGTATGGAAAAAACAGGATTCAGGCTTAGATTATATCTAAGCAAAGGTATACTAAAATTCAGGCTTAGAATATACTTAAGGAAAAGCTGGAAATGACTAGAAATGATGACTGGAATCTGAAGTTATTGCTTGCAATGGCTTAAGAGGTGGAAGAAATAATTCATATCTTGTGTATTTACATATCTTTACCATCTGGACTCAGGAGAGATCTTATGAATCCTATGAGGTAATTTGGCTTAGAATGCTATTTATTGAACTTACAGTATGTATGTTTAGAGTTCAGTATATATAGTTATGCTGTCTGTCTGCTATTTCTGTAATAAACAAGCATAGCTTTCGCACATATTTACCAGTCAAAATGTTGCCCCCTTCTCATGGACACTGGGTATTCTTGGAGATGACTTGACTACCATGGTGTCCTTTGGTAAAAGTTTGTTAAGTGCTGTTATAAGAAAGCTTCACAGGATGCAGCAAAAATTCAACCTAGTCATCCCAGGTAGAGGCAGTTCCTTGTCACCTCTGATCTTTTTAAACTGGTGATCCCAGGCATTGGTTCTGACCTTCAGGCCTTTTGCTTGCAAAGCATGTGTTCTGATAGCAAACAACATTCATAGTTGACTTCTCCCTCTTACCTGGCTGTGTAAAAACAAAATAAATTAAATGAAGCAAGACAATACTTTCAAATTTGTTAACTATACATTTGCTTACTGCAGATAGTTCCTTAATAGTTGCTGAATTTAGCACAGGATTTAGGTAACCCTTAAAATATAATTAAGGGCTT